TATATAAATGGAAACAAGAAAGCGCCTAATAGGAAGATAAAGTTTTGTCCGTTATCTCCATGCAAGCATTCAAAGAAAGGTGTCTTTCAACTTCATCATCATTTACAGTCAAATATCCACAAGCTTAATCCCAACTCAAACCAATACTTAGATGCGCTTAAATCTGCTCCGAGAATTGGGCTTCAAGAGCTACGAGATCACATTGCCAAGAGAAAGAAATCCAAAGCAAAGAGCGCCACAACTAAAGATGGTCCTAAAAAGAGAAAAATCGAATCAAAATCACCTGTACGTGGAAAGGCCGCAAAAAGGGTGAAATTTTACAAGGGTGACAAGGAAAATGAGTATAGTTTGGTGAATAGAATCGAAGCTGAGGAAGAAATTGAAAATGACTCGGATGATCAATTATTAGAAAATCCTGAAGGAGAAGCAACTATCAGCAGAAACGTGAGTAACCCTGGGCACCTCGCACCGACCTCCTCCAATAGTAATGCAGAGGAGCGCAAACTACATAATGAAGAAAGTTGTGAATCAAAGGTAAGAGAGACGTACAATGATGATGACAGCAAATTAGAGTATGATCAGCAAGTTGATAAAGTGGAACACAAGCTACATAATGAAGAAAGTGGAGATTCAGGCAATGATCATGACAGTAATTTGGAGTATGAAAAAGTAATGGATCAAATGGAATCAAAGGTAGGTGATACACATGATGACCATGACAGCGATTTGGAGTATGATCAACTTGTGGATAACGTGTGGAAAAGAAATGAAGAGTGCAAGAAGCGAAGCTTTAAACAGTTAGTGTCTATGATGTCCTCCCAGTGTGAAAGCGATGCCGAGCTATCTGAAGAGTTAAACAACCGCAAAAATGCTGACCAAGTAATCCAACCACCTCAACCACCAGTGACGGCTGGTAATACCAAATCTAGTGAAATAGTTATATGCGACAGTGAAGAAGAGGAAATTTTAGACCCAAACTATCACCCTTCCCTGGACTCCGAATCAGAGTGTAGCACTGGAAGCTTGTCAGATAACTGCTCGTTGCAAGAAAGGGATGACATTTTAACTGATTTCGTGGAAAACGTAGATAATCTCGATTTTCTTCGTGTGGAACCAGAATGGAAGAGCGTGGTTGATGTTGTTTTTGAAAGAAAAAAAAGGACGCTGGTAATACTGACTCCCAAAGCAATCTTTCACAAGGTAAAGTGCCTAAGGAAGTTATGAATGATGATGAATCATCAGTATACGATAGCGATGATGATGATAATGACGACTGTCTTGAAGAGATGGAAGATGATGTCAGTTTTGAAGACAATGATAGTAGTGATGACAGCCCACTGCTTAACGAGTTTCATTCCTGGTTGATAGACGTAGACGGGGGTTATCGCTGCGCAAAAGTGGCTGGTCAGTACAAGTCACAGGTAAAACGCATCATGAAAGTTCTTTCAGAAGATTTCCCTCAAGCAGCAAAATGAAATAGATCTTGTTACTGTCGAGGGGCATGACGGAGTGGTAATGTTGAGGAAGTGGTTGGGTCAACTATCTGAGGAGTATCAACCTGGAACCATTAGATCATACCTAATGAGCCTTAGGCTATTCCTTAAATTCCTTGTGCAAGAAGAGAAAGGGCAAGATAGATTAGACACACTTCATGCAAGGAGAGATCTTTTAACTTCGTGGTCATCTGCTCAAAGAAAGAAGGTGCTGAAAAGGAAATTAGAGAAACATGACATGGACTTTGCAAAACTCCTTTCTAGCGAAGATCTATATAAAGTGTCAAATGGACAACAGCGAATAAACATAATTAAAGCGCTTGGAACAGCTGCGGAGAAAAGCAAAGCTTGTGGAGAACCTGTGCTGGTCAACGATCAGACCTTTTGCGAAGTAAGGGATTGGCTGATTACAAGATTAATAATTGACAACTCCGGAAGAAGTGGTATTGCAGCAAATATAACAGTGGAGGAATTCAAAGATGCTAAACTGTACGCTGGAGAAGAAGATGGAGAGAGATACCGCGTATCAGTTAAGAATCACAAGACAGGAGGTGTTTATGGGGCAGCCATTGTATGGTTTCATGCTGATGTTTACAATCTGGTGAATACGTATATCTCAAGGGTGAGGCCTAAGTACGTCAAAGATGCCACAGATAACATGTTCGTTTCAACCAATGGCGTTAAACTTACTTCATCGCAAGTATCCACGTGTCTGACTCGTACATTTCAAAGGGAGGGTGTGAAGTTTCACGGTCGCATCTCCGCAACCTTGATAAGAAAATCTCTGGCATCAGGAGTGCATGTCCATTTGCCTGAAGATCAAGAACAACTGGCTGCCCTTGCACAGCACAAACCTCAAACACAAGCTCAATATTACCGCATCAATGACAAAGTTAGAGAAACAGATATTGGGCGTCGTGCTGTCAGAAAATTTATCACCATGAACTGCGCAAAGACAGAGGTAAGTACTCTTATAATGCATACCAATCGTAGTAATTTGAATAACAATTGGCATACGAATTCTGATTTCTTTTAGGTATCAATAATTCCTGTCGAGTGGACCGAGGAAGAGACCTCAAAACTTCAAGATTTATTCAAGTCTGAAATTGAGACTGGTAACATAACTGAAAACATTGTCAGAGATAAACTTGGTGCTTCCAACCTGTTGGAAACACACTCCATGAAGGCAATTGTGTTGAAAGTGAGAAGGCTTCGATCAGAATTTACCAAAAACTTAGAACCACCAACTGAAGTTGAGTCTCCTGAACAGAAGATAGAACGGTTTATGTCTTCCAGAGCTCCATCCATCGCATCTGAATCTGCAAAGCCATCATGGAGTAAGTTCACCGATGAACAAACAGACCATCTCCTATCGTTAACTCAGGATATGATTGAAAACAACGCAGTAAAAAGAGAGGTCGTTTGGGAACGGGTGATAAATGATGAGAAAGCATGGAAAACCGGGTTGGTCTTCGGAACCGATGATGAGGAGCTTCTTTTGAGGCAAAAAAACGTTTGGCGGACAAGGTACGAAAAAGAAGTCAAACGTCAAAAGATGAAGAGAAAGTAGTAGTTTGATCCTGTGGTTCTTGCATTATATTTGAACATTAGTTGACATTGAACATTTCTTGTCTTTATGTATTCAGGGTTACAACATAATTGAGTCCTATATTGTTAACATGTTATTTTCTTTAACCGTTTGCCAGTCATTTTATGGTTGATCGTTTTATTTCAAGTAAGTCAATATTCCCTAAAAAGGCCGATTTACACAATGCAATTTCTTCGTGTGTTAAGGTTCGAACGACAAGTCATAGGGTCGTGTACGACCTGACGAATGACCGTTTATATGGTATGATTCGGGTCACATGCATCAAGTCATATACTACAATCGCATCGTGGAAATCGGCCTTAAGAGTCATATACTACAATCGCATCGTGGAAATCGGCCTTAAGAGTCATAGAATTTGTCTTGGTGACTGATGTGTGTAGGACATCGACTTCTATGAAAAAGATTTAACTTGTCTTGGTCTTGTTGCGAGGTGTTATAAAGTTGAATTTTTCATAAAGCAAAAGTTGTCGTTTAAAAACTTAGCTCCAAGTGATAAAGCTTATATCTGGAATTAAAAGAGTTTACTTTGAGACTCGTTGTCATGAACCTGCAATATATTGTCTTTTTTAAGTGCAGTTCCAGTTGAGATTTTGTGGAAGTTTCATGACGTTTTCGAAAAGTTTAGGGTGAAGTCACTAAGCCCGTGAAATACATATTAGACTAACACACTTTTATTAACCACTAATTTCGTTGTTTCCTTTAGTGTCTATTGAACTATTACATGTTAACAGTTAAATATTTTTTTTATGGGTTTAACTTTACCCTAGTGCAACTTTTTGTCGTCATAATAGAGCGATATCGCATAACCCCCTTCCTAAATATTGGTGTTTTATTCTAAATGAGCCAATACAAAGATAACATTAGAATACTTAAGACTTTATCTATTGTTGTCTTTCTACGATGTCCATTAACCTTTAACTAATATCCACTTGCTTTTAAAAATATTTATATCGCTCTGTAAACCTCACAAACCGGTGAAATTGCAGCTAAAATCGCCATTGTCATAGAGCTTTAAGGATGATCAACACGCACGCCCAAACTTGTATGCGAGCTGTCAATAGGATATGTATATGTAATCGCATGGGTCCTCAGGCAATTAAGGATTAATTTCACGCGTATTTCCAAACTTTGAAAACACCAGTGAAATTAATCCTTAATTGCCCGAGGGCACTTGCGATTTCTTGTTTATCACATAAAGGGCAAAATTATCGCGGGAATCCATTCACGCGCGACGTTATTCTTTTTTAGAAGCCCGTTCAATGCCGCGACATTGCTCATTTTTTCCTCTTGTCTTTGCCCATTGTTGGAAAAATGTTAGTCCAGTAGTCCGTACTTCTTTTTGTGTTTTTGTGCTCACTTGTGTTTAGTAGTTCCTCAATAAACTCTTCAACAAAATGGGAAGCCATTGTTGCAGAAAATTTTAATCGGCAACAAATCTAAGCAATAACTTCATTACAAAGCAACTTTAAACCAATCAAGATCAAGTAATCATGCCCTTTTGATTACCAAAAGTACCCTCGTGATTAAGAAAAAATGCCCTCTGTCTCAGCCAATCAGCACTTAGTAATTTTGCCCTGTATGTGATAAGCTACATAAAATGGGAATTTGCTAGGTGTAGAGTTTTGCTCATAAATCCAATTAACAGCAATAAAATCTATCGAAAACCAGTGGCCATGTTTGTAAAGTAAAGCGTCATGTCTCTTCTGAAAATTAGCCGTTTGCGCATTTAGTAAGAGTATCTAAATTTTGTGCTAGCAAACTTAAGGTGGAATCCTGTACATGAAAGGGTATCATTTACTGTTCCCCTTTTTGTTGGGAATCTACTTCCCTGAAAAAAATAAGCTGGAAAAATGTATTTTTACGCGTTAAGAACTGTGCTTAATTTAAGTAGATCTACTGAGTACAAAGACTGTCTCAGGCCTGCTAGTATGGACACCTTAACCCAAGACGTTTTACTGCGTCTTTAATCATGTTTAAGGTATACAAGCGACAGGAAGCTTCGTATATTTCTAATTTTTTTACACCTAGAGTCTGTCATTACAATTTGCGCTCCTCTGCTCTTAATGTTTCCCAGCCTGTAAATACCTCTAGCCATATTCAGAGCTCTTTTCATACACTATCTCTCATTCTTGGAACCAGTTACCATCTTCAATTAAATCAGCAACCACTTTATCGGAATTTAAGTCTGGCCTATCTCGCATAACTACGCTTGGCTGTAAGCCTATAAGTGTATTAGTATACAATTGTAGAGGTAGGGTTATGAATTGGTAATTAGGCTTGGGGTTAGGGCTATAATGTTAGGTGATTAGGGCTGGTAGGGTTTCAGGGGAAGTTCAGCATCGGGAGCTAAGTGATATTTTTGCGTTTTTATCATCTTTGTCGAGCGTTTTTAACATGAGCCATTAGGCTCGGGGGATTGGGTAACCACCCCCTACGTTGCCGACGTGAAAAAAATTGTTGTTGTCCACGTGATCAGTAAAAAATGGTCTAAAAAAGCTTTATTTTGTTAATTCAATTAGTACACTAGGCAGGGAAATCATCTTAACTGTCAATATTGCTCCGCTTCTCTTTTTAACTTGAATGTCGCTCAGTCACGATATTTCTGCTTTAATTCAAATAATAACACTTTTAAAAAATGTTTAAATTATTTTCCATGTTCCCTTTCACAAGGCGTCTTTTAGCTATGCAAACAAATTACCAGAATTCCGCTTTATTCAAGTTTTATAAGTAAAATGTCCCATCAATTTGGCAAAGTGGGTATTTGCTACTTACAAGTGGGTATTTGCTACATAAAATGGGTATTTGCTACATGCAGAATTTCGCTCGTAAAATTGATAAAAATGAATGGAATAGCTTGTAAACACGTTGTAAATTCTTAAAAAATAATGCGTCATCCATGCATGCGAAAATCATGGCATTAGAATGAACTAAAAAGTGAAATAATGCGAAAAACGCATTTTTAGAAATGTTTGGGTTCCAAAGTTTCAAGTCTTGTACACCTACATACCCAGAAGCGCACTTTTTGCTAAAAATGGTCTTCACAGAAAAATTTTAAAACGACAGAACTCAGAAGGCTTTTACGGCAAAGAAGAACATTTAGAAGACCTTTGATATCCGGAAAAGTTTTTGAATTTTATAAAAAAAAATGATTGATGTACCTAGGTTTGGGTATTTGCTACCTTCTGACTTTTCAGTGACGAAATGCGAACAACAATTAAACTTTAATAACGTTGGTTTTGCATAGAAGAGAGCTAAAAAGCAATATTCTTTTGGCTAGAATTGTTAAATACTTTAAAAAAAAAAACTTTTACTTAATTTAAATAGGCATAGAGAAAACGTAGCAAAACACTCACTCATGAATCTAAAGAGAGAGAGAGAGAGAGAGAGAGAGAGAGAGAGAGAGAGAGAGAGAGAGAGAGAGAGAGAGAGAGAGGGGATATTTTTAAGTACATAATAGGATATATTAATGTAGGAGGGCCACAAGTTTATCAGTATTGTAACTGTTTCATGCTAACCTCCATAACTAAAGTTGGGTTGATTGATATGCATCACTCTCCCCACAGTTTTGTCCAAACTAATACCCCAGAGGCCAGAGCTAGCCTGATAAACTCCCTGAGATGGAAGAGAAGATAAAGACCAAGCAAGCTGTACATTACAACGAGTGACACACAGCTAAGGAACCAAGCAATCTCTTACCAGGCGATGGTGTATACATCTCCAACTGTTGAGAGAATGTGGTGATTGTTAAAAAGACTCCTGAGCTGAGATCTAACCAAACTGAAACCAACAACAACGCTTCAGTAAGACAAAACTGATGGCAGCTTACTCCAAACCCAAAAGATACAGCACTGCCACCATGAGATTTGCTCCAGTCTTCCACTGTTAATCCTACTGGCCAAACCTAGGGTGAAGTAGACAAAGCAAAAGAACCAGTCCCAAGGACAAATTCAGGAATTCCTGTTGCTTCTACCTGCTCTGGACAAAGAGTTATCCCTTTGGAAAGATTAGGTTTTACTTCAAATAAAACTTGGACACTGACTCTCCTTTACATTTACAGATTTCAAATTTGATCAAAAGGTTGATTAGTTAGAACTAATCAACATTTCGTATTTCCTCAAAGTCTAGAAGGAAGGATATGGGATTAGCCCTTAATCCACTTAACTGGATAACCAAGCTTGTACAATATGACACTAAATTTCATAGATGGTGTTTCATCAGACACTAGTGGGCTCCCTGTATACTCATCTTCTCATTAAAGCATATCCTCATACCCATTTGCGGTCTGCTCATTGTCAGCTCCATAACAGCTCATAATCCCCCATCTACTATGGTTTCCAAGCAAAAACTGTTCTCCCACACTGTAATGGCATTTAATTGTATGTCAGTTCAAGAACCCCGTTACCTCAGTGATCAAATCACCACAAGAATTGCAGTCACCAGACGTATGACCTGAAGTTGTCAACTATTCAACATCCCCTTTTATAAATCAAATGCCAAACAGAGAACAGTTTACAACCACATGATGCACATCTGGAACAACCTAGACAACACTCTTAAAACTTTTAAATTTTACCTGAAAATGTAAATTGATTACTGACTTTTTAAATAACACTTTATAATGGTGCTTTAAAATACTTAAGTATTTAAAGTATTATTTATTTTTTAATAGGCATGTTTCTATTGTTTATTGTTCACCACATTCTTTCTCCCTTTATTGAATTGTAAATCACATCTTTCAATTTAATCAGTTTAGTTTTCTTGCTTTGTCACTTCAAAGCCTCTATAGGGGAGTGTCAATAAACTATTGTATTTTTCTGTATTGTAAAAATATAGATTTGCTTACTAATTTAGTTATACCTGTACACTTTTGTCACAAGCTTTCCAAGCTCATCAGTGTGCTTGTGTCTTAATGAAGTTCTTCTTATTATCATTATTAAAAAGGATTTTACTTTCAATGCAATGTCAGCATGTCAGCTAAAGAAATTGCAGACAGTTTTGAACTCAGCTGCTTGTCTTGTAATTGAAGAAGGCAAACTTTGTCATGTTGCACCATTACTGAGAAAGTTTTATTGCTTACTTTTAAGGCCATAACCAGATTTAAAAATGTTGTTAATATGTTTTGTCATTTAAAAATGTTAGTCAACAAGGACCCTCTGACCAAGATCAAGTAGTATAGGTGCAATATTTGCAATTGATAATATTAAGTACAAGAATTTGATCATGATGCTGTGATGTTTAATATAAAACTTCCATTTTGTCTGGTTTGCAAGTTATTCCATTTTCATCTCTCATGTCACTTGTGTCCAAGTAGCAAAGCATTGACACAAATAACATTTGTTTGTGTTAACTTGGTTGCACATAAAGACAATCTCCCAGTTAAAACGTAAATTGGGAATGCAAAAACTCTACTCAATGGAATGTCCAAAGTGTCACATGGAAAACTGCACATTGTTGTAAACCAGGCCTTTACGCAGACATATGTTGCATCAACCCCATTAACCCTAACTGCCAGCCAGTTAATAAAGACATTTACCGAGGAAAATCAAAAAATGGTTGTGGCCTCACATGTCAAAATTTATATAAGTGCCACCAACACATTTTTAATGGAAATCCCAAGCTTTTTCAATCTTATAAAATGGCCTCTAACCTATAACAGAAGTTGTCACGTTTTTTGCCATTCAGGAGATAAATCATCTGCTAAGTTTTATAGGCAGAGCCTCAAAGGTTTGTTGACAGCTATCAGAAGTGCAAACATTTTGATCCTAGTGCACTGTAGAGTGAACTTTGGACAGAGTTAGGAAGGCATTATGGCAGTGCTGCTACTATCACAAATGCACTCCTTTAAATAATGCAAATAAAAGAATATACATATGACAAGTTACGCAGCTTTAGTAGATGTGCAAACATGTAAATGATTACTCTGCGTTAGTGTTTCTCTTTAGCCATGTCTAACCCATCTGTTATTTTGCTTGAAAGAGAGAATGACAGCCCTAAATGCAAAATAGCTGCCCTGAAGAAAAATTTTGAAGATTTTGTTAGCATGTGTTCAGTGACCCTCAATTCATTCAATATGAACATCTGACGAACACCATTTTTCAGAGAGGATCATGAAATGGCAAGCAGACATTTCTTGTGTTACTGTGACTCTTCTAGTACTGTCCCAATCACCTGTCCAGAGTACAAGGATCGTACATTCCACTTCTTCACTGGCTGTTGCTTTGAAAGTCGATGTAAAGCACCATCCTGGCAGAAAATTCAGGATTATGTCGCCCCTCTGAAGCTACAGCACATTAGGCCTAGATGTTCAATTATGTGCAGCTACAAATGCCTATAGAATAACTATACTTTTAAGAGTATATTTAATGTGTTTAAGCACATTTTGTTTAATACATGTGTAGTGCATTAAAACTGGATGTTTGAGTCAACCGTAAGTTTATGTATTGGACATCCCACAATGCCATGTATGCTCAGTTGCGAGTGTTGTGGAAACCAAAGAAGCATGTTGAATATATGTACGGTTTTGTTGTAATCCTATAATATCATGATTGCAAAGCATTAAAATACAGAATTTAACAACATGAGCCTGCAAATTTTGATGAGCAACATGCTAGTTTATGCCATGTTAGAGAATTTGCTTGATGTGTCCACCATTTTAAGAAGGTAAACTTTGTTCAGGTCCGTTAATCTACTAGATAACTACCAGTCACTTAATTACACAAAAATCAAATATTGTAAACGTTTTAGTTTTGTATGCTCTGAATTTTGCATGTCTCAGTTTTACAAACTTTGTTTGGATTGTAAAATGGCATGAAAAAAACATAACCTTTGGTACAAACAAAGAAAAAACAGCCTGTTTTGTTGTGGCAATCAATAGCTGAAAATATCTATAACCTTCTACATAAAAACTCCAGTATTTTTTAAAACTACCTCCCATTTATGGTAAAAAACAACTTTGTTTCTCGGTTTTTTTTCAGTTACTCACCCTTTATCTATTTTTGAACTTGTAAATTGTACTTTGCATTATGAAGAAGCAACTAAATTGTACTTTGTATTATATGGAAATAAATCAGCTTGCATCAATTCTTTTAATGTTTTAAAAATCATCCTTTCTGTTTGATCTAAAGTCTGAAGATACTTGAAGTACTACTGTTTTATTAACACATCTATCACAAATGAAATTGTTGATATCATTTATGCTTTCTAATATGATACTGTTTAAGATTAAATAATACATTTGTTATGCAAATTCTCTATTCACTAAGCTTGCATTTGCTATTCAAATTGAATGGTCGAGTACGAGTGCTAGTGCATAATACACTATGCAGCATGTGACAAGGAGGATGAGAATCTTGTCTCTCCAAACGACATCAGCTTGGTTGGCTTTGTTGGAACCAGCCAAAGTTCAAAACCATCATTAAAATCACGTACCAAACACTGCCTACCACCCAAAATGTAGAAGCCTGTTTACTATGAAAAGAGATTTAGAATCCATTAGGTGGAAAAAACGAGTCACTTGACGAAGAATCCAGTCCCATTTATGCCTACAATGATCCTGTATCCATTCTCTGTAACAAGGTTTAATCGTTAAAAAATTCAAACTCCACAGAGAAACTCATCCAGGCTGTACCAGCCAAAGTTCAAAATCATCAAGCAGTTTTAGACGTCACCAAAAGTCGATGAAAATCACATAGCAAACATTGCCTACCACCCAAAATGTAGAAGCCTGTTTACTATGAAAAGAGATTTAGAATCTATTGAGCAAAAAAAAGAATCAGTTGAGGAAGAACCTAGTCCCATGTTTGCATGCAATGATCCCATATGCATTTTCTGTAATAAGGTTTAATTGTTGAAAAATTCAAAGTTAAGGGAGAAACTCATCCAGGCTGTACCTCTAAGAGCAGATGCGACACTTTGTCATTGTGTAATATTAAACAATGATGCAAGAATTCTTGCTATAACTAGTAGAGACATAATGGCCACAGAAGCCCACTACCCCGCTTCATGCTGTAAAAGTTCTACTAACATTGAAACCATGAAATTTGAATGTGATCATGTTGGTGATAAAGAAAAGGAGAATTTGTCACAGGTAACTGACATGATATCATACAAAGAAGCTGAAGTAGAAGCATATGTACAACTTTTTCATCACATTAGAAACGAAGTAACTCCACATAAGGTCGTAACAGTTGCCAAGCTTACCAAGAGACTGGAAGCATTCATATCCAGCAAGGGTGAAGCTCTCAAAACTGCCACAAAGAACATTTGTAGAAGGCTTGAATCAGAACTGGACAATTCTATCTACATTTTCCCAAAGGATCAAGGAAGTTGCTGTAAGCTCCTGATAGCTTATTATTTCAGGATGTTGTCCTTGATGACGATAATCTCCATAAATAGCTTGTTCACAAGAAAGCTTGAGACAAGTGATCCCAATCATTGCATCCCAATGGTATCTTTTCTTGAGCAGGTGGATAAACTGGCTAATAATTTGAAGGAAGAGAGCTTAGACCAGCTGCTGCAATGCCCAGTCCTGGCTTAAGTAATGACTATGTGGAAAGGGTTCCTGCTTGATCTTCATCAAAGTATAGAGATATGATAGAAGGAATTGTTCTTGGCCTTTTGCAGGCATCTAGTGAAGGAGACTGGGATTTACATCTCCATTCCAAATGAATGATGATCCCTTAATGTTTTGCCTACGATGCAGTGAACTATATATTCACCTTACCTGACTCCTTACTTTGATCAGATGGCAAATCTCAGTGACAGGAATCCTGAAGTAAAGAAAGCATCCAAGGAGGGCAGTTTTCCATTCTGTTAGCAACCCCTTTAACAGATTCCAGTTGACCAGACGACTGAGGTCACAATGAACCAAGAAACCTAGAATTCTGGTGGAACCAAACACTTTGGCTCAAAATCTGCTACTGTTCAGCACTACTACCTCACAGCAAAATACCAAAGTGCATTTCTTGGGCAGCTAACAAATATGGTACATGGATCTACCTTGGAAACACAGCATACAGAGCTGATGAGCAGACAGTCCATTGTTGACCTCCCCCAAGGCTCGGATAATCCACCACCCCATGAGAGATTGCCACAAACCTGAAGACAGCACATGCAGTTGGTGAAAGATGTTAGGCAAGGTTTAAAGAAGAGAGGATGGAGAAGACCCCTAAAATCATAAAATTCCATTACCCTCTGAAGACCTCTCTGGTTTTATTCTCCACAAAATGAAAACTTCAGCTCAGAGGACATTTAGATCTGGAAGCAGTTAGACCTGAGCTCATACTGTTGGCATCCAACTGGTTAAAGGCCAATAATCCTTTATATAAGGAGATACAGACTGATTGTTCAAACATTGGTGTGGAACTGAGAAATAAGACAAAATGACAATACCAGCTTGCCAACAGATAGTACTGATCATGATCAGTTAGAGACCACATGTAAGACTGAAGCTAACCTGGGACAACCTTATGAAAACATCTTGCTTGATAATTTAGAATTTAACATTCCTGTAGATGCTTCTAATAATAATGGAGAGGGACTGGATGAAGACCAAGCAGAAAATTCTTCAAATAAGCACAGGTCACCTGCCAGTGAGACATGCTCGCAGTCAGTACTCAAGATTATCCTATTCTTACTGAGGAACATCAATCAATCGCGCAACTGCAGTGGTAGGGAAATTGACAATATAGCACATGTTGAAAATAAACACCCAGTGTCTCTAATGAAGAAAGAGAGGAAAGTGAGCCTCTTAGTAATGAACTAGCTTGTATGTTAAAATTCCATGAACCTAATGTCCAAACTGTGGTGTAACTGTTGTTGGATTAGGTATTATCTAAAATTAGATATAAGTGGCATTTTTGGATCATATTTCTGAACCTCGTGCTTTGTGGCTGTATCACAATGTGTTGCAATTCAAACGTTTTTAAAGTCATTTAAAAACGTTTGAATTGCAACACATTGTGATACAGCATTCTGCAAATTTCACTGCATTAAGTTCCAAATATTCTTGGGCGTACAGAGAGGACAATTGGTAAGCATGGCTTTTTATTCCTTTAGCTTCATTTTGTTTAAGTTATAACTTGAATATTATTACTTTTATCTTGCATTCCTGTATTTTAGTGACTACTGCGCTTGCACAGCTGTAGCTATTGCTATCATCTTAGTTTCCCGAAAGTAAGTAACAATAAAATATACTTTGGAGCCAATCAGCACAACAAATATACATCTTTTGGTTTCTCGCGAGAATTTCATATCAACTATGATTTTTTGCCAATGATCCTTGATGACAAACGAAAATCTCAGCTGCCTCGAGGTGTGATTTTACTGCGATCTCAGCTTTGGAGCGAGTAGAAGTGAGTTCTGAAATTGATTGAGGTAGGTGGTTTTATATTTTATTTACAACAATTACTTCTCACAGCCCTCATAATTTGTTTCTAACCAATCAGATGAAAGGTTTCATGAGTATTTTTCAGCTTTCAGGTCTAAAGATACAACAATTTTTTTGGTATTCCAATGTGATTTGACAATGCTTTATAACCAATATTTACGCTTGCCAATACTCCATAAACAACATGTTTGCTCACTGATACTCCATAATTTGGAAGTACATAAGCCTCATATGAGGAAAACTTACTTGAATCTTTACTTAACTGAGCCTCTTTGGAGGAATATGAAACCCCGTTGTGGGATGATTGAGCCTCTTTGGAGGAAACTTGAGCTCCATTGTGGGATAATTGAGCCACTTTGGGAGAATATTGAGCACTTTAGCTTTAAGGGAAAACATAATCATCTTTCCTATAGTGGGAATATTGAGTTCGTTTACAGGATAAACAAATCCTATTTGAAAAATCAAAACCTTTAATTACAAGGAGAATGGGCTTGTCAAACTACTGTACAAAAATCTTTTGGTAATCAAGAAACTATCTATATGAAAGCTGTGGTAAATCATTACGAAAATTATTATGGAATAATTATTCTAGGTAACTGTAATATGTTAGATGTGAATATTGACTATAGTTTAAATGAGCGATCAATTACTGTGTACAGACTGACTGTCAGAAAACATTGTAAACAATTGAAAATCAATGGACACTTGCATTGAAGAGACAGGGAACCATCCAGAATTCCTGTCAAAAAGTTATCCAAACCATGAGAAAAAGAAAACTTCAACAAAAGTTTAAAAGGATTCTTAGGAAATAAACTCCTACATGAACAAAATTACTTCATTTAATAATTATAACTTATGGTACACTGACTATTTACATAGGAACTGGCATTCTTTTTACACTGCTTATTTCCGATCTCAGTTGTTGCATACACGCAAGAAGTATTGGAAAAACATTAAAAGTAAGCAATATTCAGTGTCTGAGATGAAGCTTTTGCTCTGGTGACATTGAAATAAACCCTGGTCCTGTAGAAAATGTTGTTATTAGAGCCAATTGAAGTGGAATACTGGTGAACAGTGATTTCACATCAAAAGACACAAGGTTGTATTCGTGGGGTATCTGTACGTCTTTGATAACGTCAATAAAGTTTTCAGTAGATTGTAGTTTACGTATCGATTTGGACAACATCAGAAGTAGAATTGCCTCCACGATACAATCAGCCCCTACTTTACGACATTTACTGACCAACATTAAAGACAAAGACGAACCCAACAACAGACAGGGAGCGATTTATAAGATCGAATGCTCCGACTGCAACAACAGTTCTTTTCAGAACTACACTCACCCGGACGATCACACTATACGAACTACTTAAACAGAATTGTGAGGAATGGAATAGTTTATGTATGTAGTTGCTGTGACCAATTGTAATATAGGCACAGTGTGTGTTCTACTACTAAACTTAGAGAAAGAAGTCCAAATGTAGATAAGTATTTACTTGACAGAACAAGTGTTGACAATATTGAATGGGTGTGTACATCATGCAATCAATAATTTATCTAAGAATAAAGTTCCACCTTGTGCTGTAGTCAATGGCATGCAGTTTCCACCGAAACCAGCATTTTTTTTATCCAAGGGTGGGACAACTTAAAATTAATGGCAACATTGTTGATCTACCAGATGTTCATACTACTATTAGCATGTTGCCAAGGTTACCATATGAGAATGGTACAATCAAAATTAACTTAAAGAAAAGAATACAATAATAAAGTAATTACTTGTCAAAAACCCTCTGATATTTCTGACTTGCTAAAACTTGTCAACTGACAAATACGTAGACAGTCTCACACATGTAAAAAAAATCAAATATAGAATGTAGATTTAATTATACTCAGCCACCTATGAAGGCTGCAACAATTCATAGATGTAGATGAAGAGGCATAATCAATTGAAACAACTTAAAGAAACCTGGAAAAATCTAAAACAACAATTAGATCATATGAAAGAAGGAGAAGCCATTACAGTTGACCAACCGCTTCTCAATTTAAATGTGTCAAAGGAAACATACCTTCTAGCTATCAGATCAGGCTTAAATCCTCCTACAATATTTTTGAAATGACAACCAAATGAATTATGCATCAATAATTATAATGCTTCTTGCCTTAGTGCATGAAGAGCTAACATGGACATTCAATTTCTCCTTGATGCATGTGCCATGTACATTGTATCTTACAAAGCTCAAAAAAGCATTACTGAGATTTTGCAAGTCGCATGTGATGAAGCCAGAAAAGGAAATGTTAGTATTAAGCAACAAGTCAGAGATATGGGCAATAAATTCCTGAACAATGTTGAGATCAGTGCACAAGAAACTATATATAATGTATTGTGACTACCAATGAGGAAATCATCTTGTCTGGTGGTATTTGTCAATACCTCACCTCCTAAAGACAGAGTTAAACTTTAAAAAGGTTTCAATGACATCAAAGAAATGGAAGATGATACCGAGGAAATATTTGCATGTGGATTATTGAATAGATATACCAAACGTCCTGCCAAGCTAGAACAGTGCTTCTGTGTTATAAGATCTCACACTGACTGTGTTTTGCTACAAGATGACATCAAGAAGCTGATTGATTGGAGCGACAACCGGAAACAGGCCTTCAATATCAACAAATGTTTAATCTACAAAATGGAAGCAAAGACTCTTAGCAGGGTGTAATCCCAGCGTGATCTTGGGGTACTTGCATCAGAAACAACCAGCTTCACTGATCACATCCATGCCCAGGTGAACAAGGCTAACAAAATGCTAGGTTTCATATGTCACTCAACCTGTGGGTGCAAGACCTCTAAGTAACTCTTGTACGTCCTCACCTTGAGTATGCCTCTGAAATCTGGAACCCCAAAACAGCTACTATGATAAAAAGAATAGAAGGGGTGTAACAACGTGACTTGGCTTATGTTACCTGATTTTAGCTATAATGAGCACCTAAAACGTCTCAACCTACCACCACTGGTCTACCGTAGAGAAGTTAAAGACCTCACAACCTTTTACAAACTGAAGTGTGGGCATTTTAACTTTTCATGATTGGTATTTTCAATTTTGTTCAGATGAGAGGTAAAAGATCATAATCTTGTTATAAAATGAAAATAAATAGAGCTGGGACAGAACTTTTAGAGGGAACATTTTTAAACTGGATTCTGTATCTATGGAACAATTTACCAGATGAGCTGAGGACTGCCAATTTTAGTGTTTTTTCTTTTAAGAGTCTCTGCACTACCTTCTATAGAGATAAGGCCTTTGACCCTGAGCACCCCCATACCACCTGGGCAAAAATCCGCAGTTAGTTAGTAAGGTTGCTAGTCTGTAAGTAAGTGAGTATTTTTATAACAACTTAGATTTTTATAAATTAATTGATACTGTAACTATTAATACTATTATTATTATTATCTTAAGGATGCTAGTTAGTAAGTTAGTCTTTCTTATGATAGGTTGACTAACACGCATGGTTTGTCAGTTCCTTTCTAGTCTACCCCTCTGCTTTGTTATGGACTCAGAGTTTGACTTATTATTAACATTATCATTATTATTATTATTATTATCATTTTATCATGTGACAATGTAATTGCAGTGAAAATGGAATAAATTAATACAAAAATTTAGGATGAGGTGGAAGGTGCACGAGATTTGCACCCTGATTTAAGCAGGAGTTATGATCTCTAGGAAGATATAGGCATTCCATCTACTACAGCTAATACTGAACAACCTACATTGCATGAAGTAACAGGTGATGAATACCCACACATCATCGAGACACTAGATAAGGAACAAAAGGAGTTCTTCTACCATGTCTTACATCTTATGAAAACATCCAATAATCTAATCTACAGTTTTCTAAGTGGAGGAGCTAGTGTTGGTAAATCACACGTCACCAAAGCCAACATTAAAATACTATAACACCAGAGCTGGTGATGATTTTCACCAAGTAAAAGTTTAATTTTAGCTTCTACTGGTAAAGCAGCCCATGATATCAAGGGCAACATAATACAAAGTGCTCTTGCAATACCAGCTGTCAATCTCTAAGAGACTATAAATCTTTTGATTCTAGTAGACTGAACACTCTCAGGTGTTAGCTAGGAGGTGTAAAACTCACAAAATATCAATGGCGGGAAATGCAATGTTTAATGTTCAAATCAACAAGAGAGTTAAAGATATTAAAGGCAGTAAAGATGACTTTGGAGGTGTCATAATTGCTTTTGCTGATTTATTTCAACTTCAGCCTGTTAAGGATGGGTATATATTTGAAGATATAGACAACTCAGAATACAGCATTCTTGCTCCAAACCTTTGGCAAAAGCATTTCAAAATTTTGAATTCCATGAAATTATGAGACATAGAGAAAGCAAAGTATTCGCTGAAATCTTGAACAGATTAAGAGAAGGCATCCATACAAATGATGACATTGTGAAACTCAAAGAAAGAATATTTGATGAAAACAGTGAACTTAACCCACTAATAGATATTCCTCATTTTTCAGACAAAACAAAAAGGTCAATGATTTCAATGGAAAGGTGCACCAAGCAGCAACAGGTGAAAAGTATACTATTAAATCACAGGACGATGTCATAGGAGCAAACTCTTCAGAGCTTAGAGATAAAATTATGAAGCGGATAACTGATGACCCTTGAAGAACAAAACAGGTTGTCTCTGAAGGTAAAAGAACAGAATTAGCTTTGAATGTAAGAACTGAAGATGACAAATGGTGTTGGTAATGTAGCTAAGAAGGTACAATTACACAAGAAAGACAAATCATTTGGAAAAAAATAGGTACAGTTGGATCATGCTGATGTAGGAGAGAAAACTATACATGATAATAAGCACTTGTACATACAGGGTACACAATCTACATGGACACCTATCAAACCAATTACAACCCAATTAGCTGTAAGTAGAAATAGAACAGCTCAGGTTGTAAGAAAGCAATTCCCTCTGAGGTCCGCTGCTGCTAAAACCATTCACAGGTCACAAGGTAATACTGAGAGTAGAAGAGTTGTTAACTTTGATACTACCAGGGCAATACCTCACAAACATTAAGTAGGTCTTAGTAGAGTTACAACCATAGAGGGATTACATAGAACTAATCTTTGTGAACTTAAATAGCTGTCAGTCCTGATGTAGACTGTAATGAAACAGTTGAGAAATTCAGGTCAGCTTATTCTATCAGTATTACCTCTTTATACCGCAAGTTCAATTCCTCTGAAAATATGTTATCTTAATGCAAGGTCATTACGCAAACATATAGAGGATAGACATAAAGATTTCAACTGCTCAAGCTCTGATATCAACACTTTTTCAGAAACAAGATTCATTAAATCAGATGATGATAAAATGTATACCATTAAGGGATATAGTTTGTTCAGAAATGATGGTCAGTCTAATAACAATAAAAGACCTTTGGCAGGTACAGCTGTCCATAGCAGGATCCAATTCATTTCTGGTAATCCTTACTGTTTTAATAGGAATGGTGTTGAGATGACCATAATGAAATGCATGTATATATAATGATATTCAAACAGGAAGCTCTCTCACCTGTAGGTGATCTACATAGAGGTCCTAATCCAAAATAACATTAAATTGTTAAAAGTAAATAAAAATTTCAGATATTAAAAAAGTACAAAAGTAAGCTATAGATTAAAAGATTTTAAAAAAATTATTCCTAAACTGACATATAGTGCCAGAGTTCTTCAAGTCACTGTCCAAGGCATTCCAGTCTTCAAAGGCATGATAACAGGTTCTTTGTTTACCCCAGTTCCGCTTAACTGATGGAAGTCTAAGATGATCTTGCAATGAGCGTTGTATCTATGTACATCGCTGTTTCTAGATCGTGCATCGCTTCAGCGATTTTATTATTCATCCAAGGAGCTGTCATGCTCTTTACTCGGCGCTTTTTAAGCGGTGCATGAGAATCTGCAACTTCAGTAAATAATTTGTTCCAAGTCAAGACTGCTTCGTTGATATTGCTCTCATCGTCAACAATGTGCCATGGAACATTTTTTAAGTCCTGGATGAAGGCATTTTCATCAAATCCTTTGAATGACTGATATGCTATTATCCTCAGTGTGGCCTTTGGGACACCACCTTTTAGCACACAATAAATTAGTGAATGATCGCTTATTGATAGGGACACAACGCCGCTATCAATAATTCGGTGATGATTATTAACCAGGATCACATTTAGACCGTTCTGTGATGCGAGTTGGCTCAGTTATAATTTGAGACAAGTCCAAAGAATGCATAAAGTTATGCAGAATCTGCATATTTTGCTTGCATCCATACGCAGGCTTCAGCAAGAGGTCAACATTCATGTTCCCCGGAATAATTAGATCACATCTATCAAAGTAGGCATACAGTTTTCGGGACTTGAAATAAACTTGGTGAAATCAGCATTAGGTGCATGATATAAACAACAAATGAGAGTCGGTTTACATTTGACGCAATTGAGTTCGATCCAAAGACATTCATTCTCACCAGTATCTATGTCATTTCGTACACGAAATGGTAGACCATCTCACATGTAGATAGCAACACCTCTGCCTGATTTTGACCCTACTCTATCCTACGAACTAGTGTAAATCCTGGAAGGCAAATTTCTGAATCCTGAATGTTAGAATCAAGCCATGTCTCTGATAATGTAAGAACATCAATGGCAATGTTATCAAATTGTTCCAGTCATAACAAATCAACTTTGTTCCGTAGACTTCGAACATTTAGGTGAGCAACCTTCAGGCCAGGAGTGTTCTTAACATCAACCAAATGGCAGAAACCAGGATTCAATTCTACATCACCAGCCAGGGTAATTAAAATTAAGGCCAACGACGTGCGCTGTAGGAGTTCACCAACCAAATACATTCTCAAGAACCAGTTCACTCGAGGGTGGCTTTGCGAAGTGCTGAGACGCGCTGAGGAAGTCCAAATAGCAAGTACAGTGTTAGACTGTGAAACGGAATAGATATCACTATCTATACTAAAGGTCTTGTTCCAGGAACTCTTGTCAGTGAACCTTTGAAAGTGACGAAAAGGCAGAGAATCAGACACAACTTTATGGAGCATACACAAGCACATGTGGCTGCCATCTTGACAGGAGTTCTTTTTACAAGGAACTGTACAGAAAACGGAGAGTGGAATGAAATAGGAGTGTTACTGTCTGATTCCAACCAGTAGCTTAGTGACAAGTGCTCATTTGTATCTACCTCATGTCACCATTATTGGAGTATATCAATCACCTAAAGTGCCAATAACACAATTGTGTATCACATTAAGACAAGTACTTTTACATACAACTACACAGTACAATGTTTTCATTGGAGATTTTAATATTAACTGGTTAAATGAAACAGATAGAGTTCCTCTATATAATCTGTTTATTACAGAGATTAACTAAAGGCAATTGGTGTCTTTGCATACCACTGACAACAAAACAGCTATAGATCACATTTATACAAATTAGCCAGAATCTCAGGCACAATCACACATATTAAAAACATATTTCTCAGACCACAAATCAATATGTGCAGAAACATAACTTCACTGTTAACTTTTCGTGTGTTATAAAAAGAATACAAGCACTCCTAGATGCAGTATCATGAACACTAAAAGACTAGTATATAATATGATAACTACAAAGATTTAGTGATGTTTAATAATGTCCCAATCCCTGTGCCCTTCCTGTCCTCTCTCAGTCATTTTCAGGTAAATATCCACTATTTGATTTGTTATACTGAAAATGATTTTATTAATATATCATTCATATTCACTAATCAACAATAATTCTTTGTTCATTGACAGTCATTGCTAGTCAATCTATTTACAGATAATTTAATAACTTTTTCTTTTCTTTTTCAGTCATGGACCATCACTCAAAACCAGCTACATGTACTAACAGCACAAGTGCTCCTACACAAAACAATGAATTTGTTGGTTACATACATAATGTTTCTCCTGTGTCTAATGAAAATTTCTTTGAATGCCAATTACAAGGAAGAGATGAGACAATAACTAAAGCAGTGTGCTTCATGCCTTTGTTTGGAGGCTTGGCATATTAACTCCGCCCATGCTCCTTTAAATCGTGATGATGGCGGTTTGCTTCCTGAAGCCTATTTACACCTCGTCAGAAAAAAGGCCGCTTATTAGTGTTCATATAAAAGGACCTTTTGTTGCAGCATTTAGATCACCCCTAATGAAGGCACTAAACAGGAGTGTCAAAACGTTGGGTCTATGAATTGCAACTTCTTCGGTTACATTCATTAAATCTGCAAACCAGAGTAGCATCAAACTATGTCTGATTGTCCACCTGGTTGCCACGTGAACTTTAATATATTTTAAAGCGCAAGATTTTTGCAGATTACAGTGGAAAGAAGAGCCCCATAAAAGCTAAAAAGTTCAATGTGGACACCTCTTTAACTACCAATGATATGTTGATGGGAGATACTGTTATAGTTGAACACTATCCACAACTTGACTTCTCAAGATCAGAGAGCCAATCTTCATCCATGCTTTCATCAGTTAAATCTGTTCGAATTGGCCAGCATGTAACTGTTAAGGCCAAAGTTACCAACATGTCCAAAGAGGAAAAGGCAGGGAATTTAACTCTTGTGAACTGTACCCTGCTTGACCCTGCAGCTTCAGTCAGAATGGTATTGTGGGAGAATTTTTCTAACCAAGTAGAAAACAACCATACATACACGTTCCATAATGTAAAAGTACAAAAGGTGAAATATCATGACAACATTTATTTGAACACTGCTAAATATGGAACAGAAATAAAGCTCACAGGAGATTTTACTGAAGTCTTAGCTGTGCCACTTACTCAAGATACCACACAATTTGTACCCACAACCATTGAAGGAGAAATATTAGGAATCACGACCATAAACTCACATTTCTCTTTCTTTAAGTGCAACAAGAAACTAGAACAATCTACTGCAGCAACATATTTAGAGTGCAACAATTGCCACTTAAAGCGAAAACACTTTTTGTGGAGCATATTCAGCAGGTACTTCCCAAACAAAAATTACCTCATGCCAACAACAACTGCGGAAATGCTCTTAGACAGTTTGTTCAATCTTGTAACAGTAAAGTTCACGTACAACAAAACATCCAAAGCAGTACGGAAGATTGCTAAAAACATGTAACTTTCCTTCTTTTCAAGAAACATTTTTGGTAACATCACAGTACATACTGTAAAACCCGGTTGCGTGCATTACTGTTGTAATTTGTGTTTCATTAAGTTTTATTTGTTGACCTTGTTAATACTAGTTGGAGGAAACCAAAAACCAATGTATTCAATTCGATTTATTCTTGTTACTTACAGATAATACAAAATAACAAAATAGCAACTTGTGTTAAATAGATCTCACAAAGTTGTTGTTTCATTATTCTTCTAAGTCAGTACAACAATTTTATTCAGGATGGGAAGGGGGGCATGCCAAAAGGTTTGACTTTAAAAGGAGCAAACCAGGCAAAAAAGTTTCTGATAACCCAATCAGAGGTCATCATAAATTACACTGACTATCTATTAAATCCTGTCAGCTCCCCTACTCCATAAAAACTCAACAGTCCCTTATTCCAACTACTTGCATGCATTCTTATGCACATTACCACATATTTATACCAGTTCTACTTTTAGTAGTTTTTACCCTCTAAGCAGTAGTCACTTGCGCCTTTACAGCGTCTATTTTTTGTAATGCAACTATTGTTTGCGGCCTTATCGAACAATAGTGGAATAAATCATATTGGATCAGTCATCCATTGATTAATGTGTTGATATCAGTTCAACGACCCTCCAACCTTGAGGACACCTAGAGTTTCGATATGTGTAGTGCAAAATAATGAAAGAGAGAGTATTATCTACAGGATAACCTGAATAATCAACCATAAGAGCATCTTGGTTCACAAACAGTAGCAGATGATCAACCCCATAGAGGTGCCACAAAAGCCTACAATCAGCTATTAGCCAGATCTGATAATGATCTTCTTCAATCAGTAAGATCTCTAAACACCTAGCAACATCAAGGATTGAAAAATTACTGTTTGGTGTAGAGACAAGGCAAAAAACATCAACGGCTTGTAACTTGTTGAAGTTCAGCCAATCTATTTTTCTATAACTAGAGGTGCAGGTGTTAGAAAATCTCATTTTGTCATATAATTTATCACACTGCTACATAAGAGTTTTAGAAATGGATTTTTTTATCCTGAAAAAACCAACAGTACTGCTAAGAGCACCTAAAGGTGCAGCTGCTATTCACATTAATAGTACTACAACACATACTGCATCGGCATGCAATACTTAAAGAATCAGGTCAAAATCTTCTACCAATGTCAGACCAAAAGCGAACACACATAAGAATGGCACTAATAATTATTAATGAAATATTTATGCTGTTGTACACTGGACATCTACCAACAACTGAAAGAAATATTTGCTTCTCCATTTAACCAGCTATTTACAGGACTTAGTATTATTGTTGTTGGTGATTTGCATTAACTTCCATCCATCCATAGCAAGCCTGAATTTGATGGAAATAAGAATAATGTTGCCAATCTGTGGCATCCTCATACCATTAAAAAATAGCTATTTATCAAAACACCAATAAACCATATGTAATTTATATAAAAATTGATAACCCTCACACTGGATTGAAAGCTATAGAAAAATGTAAAATGGAACTGTACCAATACCACCTGTACTAGCCAGAATAAAGGTAAGTCCAGGAAAGTCAACTTCATCAGAGATACAGAGACTTCAATTCCCTCTCTCACTTGCATGGGCATGTACAGTAGACTAAGTTCAGGGTTTGACACTGAATGAGATTGTAGTAAGCTTCAACCTTAACAGGCAAATTAATTTTAACTATGGACAAATTTGGATTGCATGTAATTTCATAAATAAACAACAAATGTGCAAGAGCAAATCTAAAGGTCTAAGCAGTATATCACAGATTGCAACAACTGCTTAGGCAAGTTCTTCCACTACAAATGGAAATCACTAATGTTTGTCTCTTAAATATATGTTCCTCATGTTGACATCAAGCACAATACACGTCTAAAAGAAAGCAATATCTTACATAGAGGTGTTATCCTAATAGAAACTCAACTGTTAACACACAACTCAACCATCAGACAACACTACACTCTTATTAACTGTATAGCCAAGACCACCTCTCTGATAAACATTCAAGTCTTGCTATTTGTACTAAAGAAAATATCAATACATTAGAAAAGGAGTATATTCCTGCTATGCAAATAGTGATTGTTATATTTAACTCTTTGGCCAATTAAAAAAATCATCTCTCTTGACAAAAAGAAAAAGCACCTCAAACACTTAACAGTATTTAGATGGACTAAGGCATGTTCTTGATACTTTTTAGGTTGATATTGTTTTAGGTGACTTTAACTTCAATTACTTCAATGAACATAATATCATACCACTTTATGATATCCTATGATTATGTCCAGGTTGTACAAAGTGCTACATTTATGTCAGCTGGAAGTCTGTCTAGACCATGTCTACCAGAAACATACCAGTTGCAATACAACAGAAAGAACAGTAGTAAATGAGTATTACTCAGACAAGCCATGCAGTGATAATGACTGTTTGTAATACCTCTACAAAATTTTAAGTATTAATGCTTCTTCTAAAGGGAGACCAATTTAAGAAATATTTATCATCTCTTTACTTTTCTTCAATTAAAACATGCCAGTCACGACTAATTAACAAGCTCTGTTGCAAAGATGAAAAAGTCCAATTTCAGCATGAAAAATCCTCAGCCAACAAACAAGTGAAACATAGCCGTTACCTCATAAGTAGGGGGTAAGGATGTATTCAAAGTTAGTTTTGTCCAATCAGAGTTCAAGATTATGTGGTGTAATTGATAAATAAACTTCATGACAATGAACTTACAATGAGAACCAAGGTCAGAACACTTGTGTTTCCTTTCTCTTAAGTATATATATGAAACCAATCATAACTTTGATCCATTGAAGTGACAACTTTTAAAAGGTTAAGGTATTAATAGCATTGTTCTTAAGTCACCAAACCATTTCAGAATCTCAAAAGATTTCCTCAAAAAGAACAGCGTATGCCCCAATAATTGCTTTCTATTCATAATACTACGCCTGTTCTAAAGATGGGAAGAAAATTGTGGCAAATAATATGACCTGCATCAGCACTCTGAACTCATGAAAATATAAGATCACATATTTGAGATATAGAATGGCCACAAGGAGTGAGACACCATGGCTCTCTGTGGAAAGCTGATACAGAAGAAAGAACCAACTACTGTTGGTCCAAGGAAACTTTAGCTGAGTTAAGTGGTGTTAGCAGACACCACAGTGTCTATTTCATTCGACATCTTTGAGAAACACCCACAAATTCTCTGTGGGATGTGTTTACAAATTAAATCCTGTGCAAGTGTGGGTTTGGAAAAACAACAAGAGAATCTCCATTATCTATGAGAAAACTATCACAAGCAATCACCCTAGGCCTGGATAAAGAACAAAATGAAGCAAACAAAGAAACAGCTGTCATTGTGAAATAATTTATTACAGTTTAATCTGTTGCTCCTGGTGATATTCATGCTAATCCAGGCCCAGAGTGCAACACTAATTGCATGTTGGATCTGCATTCAGCTGTTTACATGTGCTTTTGTCTTCAGATTCAGAAATGAATCTTATAGGTGACTTCTAACACTCCTGAATTTGACTCAATTGCCAACTAACCTTCTGCTGAATTGCACAATGCCTCTTTGCACTCCTTCAGGATGTTTAAATGCATTCATGTGTTGTGGTGCACTGTCTGGCATTGTTTGGTGGTGTTGGTTTGTGTATTATTTACACTTTGGGTGCTGTGGACATATGTAGATTTTTTTGGCAACCAAGGACCTATATAAATGTTCCCACTTCATACAAATAATTTTTCCCTCAGTTAGCTCTACAATATCTCTGGTTGCTCACAGAGGATTGGGGAGACCAGTAAATTCCACTGATCATAATCAGGGACTGTAGAACAAATTATGCAACTAAAATACACTCAGCATTATTTCATTCAGTTACAGAGAAACAGTTATTGACCTCGTTGCTCCTTTTTATTATGTTACCCTAGAAAAGAATTACTTACCTTATATATTTATTACAAAGCATTCTAACATAGAATATGTCTTTAGCACCAGAGTTTTATTAATGCCTCTCATTCAATTTTATTCCATTTAATATTCTTTGTTAATATTCTTTGCTAAGGACAGACAGGATTAATCAGCCTAAATTATTTGAGTTAAGGGCACATATCTCCTTCATATGGTATGTCTGTAACTAAATTATCATAAATCAGTTCTCTCAAATAATATTTAAGCCATCCTCTAAGCACTGAAAGAACAATAAATATCAATATCAAGCTGGATGGTTTGTTCAAACAAGGTCAAAACTTTGTAAATGTGGAAAACTTAAAAATGTTATTCTTGAAATAAGTGCTTCACAAAACAATTAATATTAAGGTTAAAATTTCCTATTTAAAAGGTTTTTGTCTGTAAATAAGTACATTTTAAGAATCTTTTTCAGATATAATTATACATTGGTATTTGCGTTTTCTCTGAAGAAAGTGGAGAAACAGTAAGTACATGAGTTACTTAGACATTCTATCCAAGAGCTACTTTTATAAAATAATTCAAATAGTACGCACGCTCTGATTGGCCATAAAACCATTTTACATGAGCGTATGTAAACACAGTTTTCATACTGGATCTTTCTTACAGAGTTCTCCCTGCTATTTATTTAGCAGTAACTCAGTTTCTTTAAATTTGTTTTGAGTACAGTAATGGAAGAAGAACAAGCATGTCGCTTTCCTTCATTGCAAGAAGAGGCTCTTTCATTAGCTATTTTATAAAAGAAATGTAAAATGGTTTCCATGTTTACATAGCCTGATGTAAACACTTGGGAGGTTGGGAGAACACTCAATAAGCTGGAAACCACTCCTCTTTGCATCGTGGTTTCCTATGCTTATCTTGTGTTCTCCCAACCTCTCGAGTGCTTACATCAGGCTATGTAAACATGGAAACCATTTTACATTTCTTCAGTAACATGTGGGTGGTGAAATATCTACCAGCCTAATTAAGAGAAAATTATTGAAATAATATCAAGATATATTTATCTCTTCCCCAAGAAATCAACATTTCCTTGCTGCTGATTTCTTCTTATATTTATCTCCTCCCCAAGAAATCAGCAGCGAAGAAATGTTGCTGAATGTTAAGTTAGAAACAGTCCCAGCATTGCTTGCTTCTGCTACTGCTGATCTAATTCCAGTAAATGCTATTGACCAGTTGTCTGGGTGTCCGTTCCGTGACAGTGCCCCTACAACTCCAAAGAAACAGAATCCACAGAAGAAATGTTGTTTGCACAAAACAAGGTAGGAGAAAGGAAAGTGGATACCAGTGTGGTGATTGCCCTAAATTGGCCCGGACTTTTTGCTGCCCCATAATTCAAGATTTTTCACACCCATTGTCTTAAAATCCAAGATGGCCACCTGCTGCCACGGTAACAATTACATGTTATGTGGCATTGAAGGTGTTAAGTTTCAAGTGAAAATTAATAGAGTGTTTGCTCGTATTTTCCAGTAGATAATTTAATCATTCTGATTTAACCAAAGTGTTCCAGGGTAAGATACCTCATACAAATAAATACATTGGATTCCACATAGCAAGATGCCCAAATCACTTGAAGACCAGCATTTTCCTTAGCAGCTCCAGCTTTTCCCTCCCACTTGAAAAAAAAAACCACCTCAAGACTCCCTCCTGCTTTGAGCACAATCTGAAGACACGCTTTTCAAGACAAACTTTCAATTTGACATTAATCCATTTTCAGTATACTGGCAAGTTTTGTAGATATGTACCATATACAACTAGTATCATTTTAAAATAAACCTATTAACAATTTCTTTATTTCTTTCAACTATTTGTTATTTATTAATCCTGTTTATCTTTGTGAAATGTAAAGGATCATTTCTACAGATTATCATTATCTCATTATCCCCATCATGGTTATTACCCTGTGTGCTGTGCCACTGCACATAAACTATTTGTTTTATTTTACATTCTGGAGATTCCAAATAGTTTATGAAGCTCTGGCAAGGATGTATAACTGATCTTCACTGTTTTCCATGAGAAACTGATGGAAAAATTCAAACCCAAACATCAAGCCTCTGCTGCTCACTAAATGAAACATGTCTACAGATCATTTATTGCCAAAGTAAGTTGAAGAGAGATGAGAATAGAAGACGCTTAACTATTCCTATCTGTAACCCTGGTTATATAGAGAATTCTTCTATGATAACTGTCACAATTTTTCCATTTAAACTCTTTATTCAATAACGCAACAGCTACTACATGACAACATGGGCGAAATCAAAATGGCGGGTCCGATACCACGTTTTTTCCCACAGGTCCGATGGGAGCGCGTGGTATGACGTAATATGACATCCCCCTTTCTACCGATGTAATAATAATAATAACGACAAAAAAAAAAAAAAAAATGGAACTTATCATATCTCCAGAACATTACAATACTGGTTGAAAGGATATCCCTCCTGTGCTTATACTTATAAGTCTATTCTTTAGTGTCTCTACTGTTATAGATCCAGCCTTTGTGCAGGTGTCACAGTCCTCCCAGATCTGGTCACATATCCTCCAGCTATGTCTGAGGGTCCCTGGGGGATGTTGTTCAGTGGCACTGTTTCGCCAGATCCTGGTCTGGGGGCTGCACCGTTTTTGTGCGATGTCTGTGTGTGACTGACTGGGGCAAGACTAGTTGTCTGCTGAGGTATCTCAGAACCTTGGTATACTGGGGTTTCCACCCGCTGGCATTGTGTTCCCCCTCACTGCAGTTGTGTCTGGTTTCAGTTGGGCCCGTGTTCTTCGATAGGTGGTACCTGTACTGCTGGATCTGATGATGTAAGATCTTGGCTGTTTGGCGGGTTTTACAATAATGCCAGGTTCCCAGGTTTGTGAGTGGTGGTTGTACGTGCGGATGGGTTGGTCAGCTTCGAATGGCTTTTGGGTGGTCCTGAATGCTGGTTGTAATAGTGGGCTTGTTTCTCCTGACGGGCTATGAGCTTACTTTTCATGACCTCATGGTGAGAGTGGTTGAGGAGGACTCTATGGCATGCTGGTAATCTAGTTTTAAATTTTCTGTTGGTGAGCAGTTCTGCTGGGGATTTCAGCTGGTGATCCAAGGGAGGGCCCGGTATGATAGGAGAGCAAGGTACGGGTCCTCTTTATTTTCATCGCACTTTTGGAGAATGTTTTCCACGGTCTGGACCATTCGCTCAGCAAACCCGTTGGATTGGGGGTATAGGGGGGAGCTAGTAATGTGTTCTACCCCGTAGACGTTCATAAAATGCTTGAATTCTGCCGAACTGTACTGCGGTCCGTTGTCGGTCGTCAACTGCGTAGGGATGCCGTGTTCTGCAAAGATGCTCTTCAGATGGTTGATAACTGCAGATGACGTGGTGCTTGTTAGTCTCCTGATGACAGGAAATCTGCTGTATTGATCTGTCAACAGGAGGTATTGTTGCCCTCTAAATTCGAACAAGTCCGAACTGAGTCTTTCCCATGGTCGGTGTGGCGGTTCTGGCTGTAGTATTGGCTCTTTCCTTGCTTTATTTTGGTATTTCTGGCAGGGTTCGCACTGGTTAACTTGGTTGATGATTTCCTTTGTAATTCCAGGCCAGAAAACGGATGTACGTGCTCGTAAAAGGCATTTCTCTTGCCCTAGGTGGCCTTGGTGTATGATGTTCAGGATTTCAGGTCTGAGAGTAGGAGGTATCACGATGCGGTCTCCTTTTAGTACTAAGCCGTCCTCGATGGTCAGCTCTTCTCTGAAATTCCAATAGCCATGTAGCAGTTGGGGCACTCTTCTCTTTTCTGTGGCCATCCTTCAAAGACCATTTCTTTTAACAGAGACAACACAGGATCCCTCCCTGTTTCGTCACGGATCTGTTGTAGCTTTGTTGGAGTTGCAGGAGATGTTGTGTGACGTGGTGGACATATATCTCTGAAAGTTGACTGCTGCTAGGGGTAGGCTGGGGCTGACTCTTGAGAGAGCTTCGGCTATTGGTACATCAGGACCTTTTACGTAGTTGACCGTAACGTCGTATTTCAGGGCTCTCATCAAGAACCTCTGTAATCTAGGTGGGCAACTGGACAGTCGCTTCTTGAAAATCGCCTCAAGAGGTTTATGGTCAGTGTTTACTGTACAGTGCTTCCCAAAAATGTAGTAGTTAAATCTCTCTAGGCCCCATACTACACCAAGTGTTTCTCTCTCAATGTTGCTGTAGTTTTTTTTCTGTGTCTGTAAGTGCTTTGGAGGCATAGCATACAGGTTGCCCCTGCTGCAAAAGGACGGCGCCTACTCCCTTCTGGGAAGCGTCAGTTTGAATGACAGACTCGATGTTTGGGTCAAAGTATCTGAGGACTCCCATTGATGTGATTTCCTGTTTGACTTGGTTGAATGAGTCGTCGTGTTCAGGTCCCCATACATATGCGGTGTCCTTCTTGGTAAGTTCTCGCAGTGGTGCTGTGAGGCTAGCCAATCGCCCTGAGTATCTTGTAAGGTAGTTTACGAGGCCTAAGAAGCTTTGGAGGTCTTTGCGGTTCTCAGGTGGGGTCATCTTCTGGATTGCAGATATCTTACTGTCATCTGGTTTGATTCCATCCTGGGTCCATTTGTGGCCGAAAAAGCTGACTTCCTGACATTTTTAAGCTGTACTTTGTCTTTGTTGAATTTGATTCCCCTTTCCCTGGATCTGATCATGAGGTTTACCATGTTCGCATCGTGCTCTTCCTCTGTAGCTCCGTATATGAATGTATCGTCTGCAATGCCGGTGACTCCTTTCAGGCCCTCCAGTGCTGAATCTAAGTGTTTCTGGAACACATCTTGTGATACAATAAGGCCAAAGGGGAGCCGGGTGAAACGGTATCTCCCGAACAGGGGTGTTGAAAGTAGTCAGGTAGGAGCTGGCTTCGTCTAATGGTACATGCCAGTAGCCCTTTTTGGCATCAACTACACTAAAGAATTTGGCACCACTAAGCTGTGTGACTACCTCATCAATTGTTTTGGTGTAGTAGTGTTCGCGTTTTATTGCCTTATTTAGGTCACGTGGATCGAGGCAGACTCTGATTTTGGTGACTTCTCCTTTGCCGTTGGTTGTTTCAGAGGGACGATGCTATTAACCCAGTCTGTGGGTTCGCTTACGGGTATGAGCACTCCAAGTTCTACCATGGTGTTGATTTCCTTTCTAAACATGTCTCGAAGGTGTACTGGTACGGTACGTGGTGCGTGGATGACAGGTTCAGCATTGGAGTCTAGGGTGATGTGATAAGGTTTCATATTGAAGGTTCCCAGGCCTTCAAAGCAGTCTCCGAAGTTGTTGAAGAAGGTTATCCTGTCCAGTGGGGGTATGTTTCAGTGTCTAGACGGCTAGGGTATCTGCTGGTCCTTTGGTGCGGTTTGCATGGTCTGTGTTCTTTAAGGCGGGTCTCTTTGTCTTCTTTGGAGGTTTCTAGGCTGCAATTAAATTTTACCAGCTCAAGTTCCTCGCAGGTTTTACAGCCAAGCATTGTAGGTCCTGGTACGTCAGTAACATTGAAAACGACTTCTTTAATGCTGCCATTTTGATGGACGTATAGTGGACAGGTTCCAAGGGTCTTGATGGCGTGGCCTCCATACGCAGTAATCCTGTGGTGTGTTGGGCCAAGGGGTATCTGCTGGGAACTGCGGTTGAGTCTGTCATAGTCGTCTTTGGAGATGACATTAACTTCTGCACCAGTGTCGACCTTGCAGATAATAGGTATCAGGTGTGTATCATGGGGGTCTACCGTGACTTGTATTTCAGTCGTGACTTTGGTGCGTTGTTTTTCTTTTTGTTCAATGCTTGCGATCATTGAGGTACTGGGGCTGTCTCGGGCTTCTAGTGTTCCCAGGAAGACTTTGTCGTAGCTTGTGCATTCACTTGTTACACCATCAGGTTGTTCTTTTTGTAGGGTCATCACATCTGACCTTGTTTTAGACTTGCAAACTTTGCTAAAATGACCGCGTTTGTTGCAGTTGAAGCATTCTACTCCAGTGGCTGGGCACTGCTGGTCTTTGGTGTGTGGTGTGTCTCCCACATCTGTAGCACTGTCTTAGGTTGTTGTCACGTCGTCTGTTTCCTCTACCACTGGTGTACCTTTGGTGGGGCTGGTTTCTGGGCTTGTTTCCTCTGCTGATTGCATTGACTTCCCCTTCTTCTTGCTTTGGGTTTGTAGTGTCACTCATTGCTTTTAATTGCATCTGGGTAGCCTCATCAGTTCGTGCAATTTCTTTTGCCCTTGCAAAGGTTAATTCATTACCGCGGGCAATGCATTTTCGTCTGACCTCTTCCGAATCGGTGCCGAAAACTAATGTGTCACGCATGAGTTCGTCATGTAAGTCAGGTGGGTAACCTGAGCTCTGTATGAGTAGCCTTGCTTCAGTCAGGAAGGTGGCTAGGGGACGATTATTCTGTTTCAGACCTCGTAGATAATATCTGTTCAAGATATGGTTTGCTTGTGGTTTAACATGGTCTTCGAATCTTTTCCAGTATTCTTTCAGGTCTTTTTGTTGGTCTTCGGTTAGCGACCAAGTGTTAAATAAGTCTATTCCGTAATCGCCTGACCATAGTAGCGCATATTTGCATTTTTGAGTGCCGTCTCGAGCTTTTAACGGTCCATCAAGTAGCAGTTCACACTTTTGGCGGAATCTCTTGAATCTAGTTAATAAATCTGGGCCAGGGGTCCAGTCCATTTTTGGTACTTCAAACCCAACCAAGTCGCTCATTTTTGGCTAAATTGCACGATAAGACAGGACTTTGTAGTAAACACTGTAAAATCGTACGTACCGGTTTTCTTGGTTGTTCTAGCGGTGAGAATTCCTCTATTGGTGTAAATCTATCCCACTTCCGACATCCATGTCACAATTTTTCCATTTAAACTCTTTATTCAATAACGCAACAGCTACTACATGACAACATGGGCGAAATCAAAATGGCGGGTCCGATACCACGTTTTTTCCCACAGGTCCGATGGGAGCGCGTGGTATGACGTAATATGACAATAACATGTCAAGCCATTGCATATAATTGGTTGTTTTAAGGATGTTAACTATTTTAATATTTTAATTCTTAAGTCTTCACATATGTATTTCTCTTTTTTTCTCTTCGCTAATGACTGTCCAAGCATGGAATGGTCATTAATTACTTTGTACAGAAAACATGCAAAACAATTGTTCTTAGAACATATTAATAATTAAGAGAGCACAGTATCATTGGATGATTAACAATTTAAGACCTTGAGGAGACAGATTGCCAAACCCAGACAAGTACTGAACACAACATCCTACAGCAGCTCTGTGAGAAGATGAACCAAGAAAGGGCAAATGACCTGGCAATGATGAAGGGCACCTTGAGATGGTTAACCATTATTGCCATTAAAGTCAGTCAACTTCGACCTAAACAAAAGGGAATTCTACTATGCGCTCAGCCCCAGGTAGAGCTGGACACTGAACTATCTCTTATCTACATGTCATTGTGGCAAGATATTTGATGTTGATCTTGCAATGTTGTGTATGAAAGCAGATTTATCCATAGGAAGCATGATAGGATGTAAGACTTGTTTGCATCCCTTCTCAGGAATGTATGTCATGAAGTCACACCTTCAGACCTTGACTGGCAAAGTTTTAATCAGCAGTGCCAAACTCCTCTGATGAAGCTCATTTGGATGTCCATGTGTAAGGTTTATTGCAAGGAGGGCATCATGCATTTTTTGATGTCAGGGTTTTAACCCTTTCACAAACAGCCACCCATACCAGAAACTTGACATGGCATTCTCAAATGAGAATGAGAAAAAGCAAAACCACAACCAACAAGTCTTTGAAGTCAAGCAATTTGCTCCATCAGCCCTCTTTTGTTCTTACCATATGACAGAAATGGCAGAGAAGCCAAGCAATTTTTCTGTGAACTAGTCTTGAAGCTATGCGAGAAGGAGATGAACTATGGCATTGCTATTCATTGGCTGAGAGCAAGACTATCCTTTGACCTGTTAAGATCAGCAGTGTTATGAGTAAGAGGCTCCAGAACATTAAAACACGAGTTCAACACTGATTTTAGCAGGGCACACTGCAAATGTGATTAGAAAGATAAAGTAGACAGATGTTATTTTTAATTTTTTTTCTTAAAGCACTGTGTAGAATGTTTTAACTCTAAAGGGCTCTGTATATCTTTTCAAAATAGATTTTATCAATGAGTTTGTGATAAATTTTATAATTCCTTGTATATTTTGATCTTTTATCACATGATGGTTTCATAATAGAATCCACTTGTTATTTTTATTTTTTAGTTGAGGCGCAGTCTATAGTGATCAGAAAACTGATTGCTTTTGGAATTAGGATTGACAAAT